GGAGATATAGCCCAAACAGTTCTTATAGACAATGGCAAAGATCTGTACTGGGCAAATTGTAACATAGTCTTGAATCTGGTATTGGCAAATTCTCATTAATATGATCACATTATTTTCATGGTTCAAAATGTAATGTAAATAAAATGGATGGTAATTGAAAGTAAGGTCATATAGTAAGTAAACCTCTTAAATTACATCAGTTGGCTAAACATTAATCTTACCTAAAGTAGAGCAAATTAGCTTTGCATGCCACATTCAATTTAAGTGTATTGTATTTCAATATGTCTATTCTGCCTAGGAAAAACGTAGGGTTTAGATCAGTATAAATTCATTTCAGAATTTCAGTATAACACAGCAAAGCTTCTTTCAATGCTGTATGGTGGCTAAGTGCTGAATAATTTCCTTTCAATGCTATATGCAGACAGTTGATATCACTGCATTGGGGTACAAGTTATATTTGTTATATAGTGCATCCAATGGTTTCCTCAAAGACTTAATAAGAATGTGGTTACAAACTTCTGCAAAGTTCCAATCACTACATTTCATGAAAAAAATAAAACGATGTATAAATCACAATTGGAAAGCAGTTTTGGAAACAAAAGCCATAGTGTCTGTTTATAGTGGATTCTGATGAATAACTGCCTGAGGCTGAAGTCTTGAATATATTGAAATGGGAGTAGATTCAGTTTCGACAGCAGGAAAGTTGAATCCAAACGCTGTGCCATTATGACTGTAATTCTAAGTACAGTTTGTTGTACTGTGCTTGGACTTTAGGAAATTATTTATGATAAACTTGGATAAAATTATGTTATACTAAAACAAGTTGAAATAGCCTTGATACTTAAAATAACTACAATGTCTCATTTTGATTAGTGTATATAGATAATACTATTTCTAGATAACGTCCCGAAAAGATCTGTTGTTGATCCCTATATATACTTAATAATTGGCAATTATTGGGCAGGGTGCTTTGATTGTGTTTTTTTCCTGTATAGCAGGGGGTTGGACTAGATGCTCATGTGTTCTCTTCCAATTCTGTGATTCTATGATATATTTTCAGGTAATTGTGTGATAAAACTTAAGGATTTTGTTCAAGTAAGTTCACTTATCAAGAATGTGGACAGTATTAAAACCCACAGGTTGTATTCAGCTTAATATTAATTATAAAATCAATCTTCATGACATCCCAGGAGTCTCATATCATGTGTATGGTGGTTAGCTTTGTAAATGCTACATTTCTCCTTTAGCAGCCAGTAATGTTTCATATCCCTCTTAAGACTAGTGCACCGTCTGGAGCAAACGGTTATTTCTACAAAATCTTCTCTTTGATCTTCGTTTCTTACCAATTAAATTGAACAAAAATACTTGGATGTCAATCATAGATGTGTTAGCATGAAAGTAAATGTTACTGCAATCCATATTGTTTGCGCCCAGGTACTGATAAAAGCAAGTGAGCATTTCATAGTGCATGGATTTGGTGAAGGCCCATTATCTGTATATTACTGTTACAATGCATGAACCAACCTAAAGTTTCCAGCTCAGTTTAAATGTATTGCCCATTAAATATACTTCCTCCAGTCAAAGCAGATTGCAGGGTTTATGGAACAATGATGTCGGAGCTTCCAGATTGGTTTGGCAGCTGCATTGTTCTCCAAGGGGATACCAGACGCACTTAAGTCCCCATCTTTTTTCATAGGCTTTGTTCATACCAAATTATTCTTGCACTCTGCTAGCATTCATGATGGCTTGTTAAAGGAACGCATCCTAGCAACGAAAGGTTGGTTGCTAAGCAACATAGCTTTCCATAGGTTTTTCTTGTTTAAGATACTTTTTGGTGGTTCGGTTTTATGAAGGCCACCGAAGTGTGGGTTTTGAACTGTATTCTTTTATTAGGATACTGTTGTGATTTGTTAGTAGCAATGGGCTGAGAGTGAATTGAGGAGTTAGTAAATCACCATGTTCTTCAGCTTTGCTTCCTGAATTTAACATTCATTTGGATGGCAGCATTGTTCAAATAAACCTAGAAATAGTTATTTTTGTAAAGTCAAGTCTGTTGCATCTTTATGTAGTTAATACTGATATTCTTTTTACTGGCAACATTTCCATTTTCTTGGAAATTATTTTTGAAAGCAATTGAAGTAGATTACACAGGCGAATTGCTTTTCTGGTTCTGTGCTACAAACAGTAAGGTTAGGGTAGAAAAGCTTGGCTGAAGTCTGACATATATATGCTTAAAACTCAAGAAATCGTAACAGGAGGAGAAGGAAGAGATATTATGGAACAAAATACTCATTTTTGGCAAGAATACACGCACACACAAACGTATTAGCCCTCATTCAAAGTTTGTTGTGTGTGAGGATCTCTCAAGTCCAACAGACAGTAAGCGCTATCAGGTGTGATTTTGTTGGACAAGAAATGACTTGAAACAGGAGTCCTTGATACAAATCTTTGCCATCCCTGGAAAGGTGTGTAGCTCTCATCCTACAGTGATGGATTCAGCCTATGGGACATCCAACATAAAAGTAATCATCAATGCAGATCTGCTTTCTTTGTTCTGATTGACATTTCTGCATTGGAAAAATATAGTTAATCTTTTTTTATTTATGTAGTTGAAGTACACAAATGTCTTCATATTTTTCAGAGGATCTTTCAAGAACATTTAGCGTGAATGAATAGCCTTATCTAGACCATGGATATTATTTCTGGCTATCATGTGTGCCTGGGATGGAGTAAAAGAATCCAAATTCTCTTAAGTGGGCTTAATCTTGTACCTTCTTATTTCCATCCTGAGTCCCTTTGGGAAGAGAGATGCAAGTTAGAAATAAAATGTTGTTGTTTTTGTTTACATAGTTGAAGCTTTTAGTGAAAAATCTTTTTAGTGAAAACAAATAAAGATTGCACAGTAGCAGTTGGTGGATCATAGGCTTTGCATCCACTGAATTAACGTCGTCCCAAATATGTTCTGCTGGTTGACCGGTGGGGCAGTGGGTTATACCCCTGTGCTGGCAGGACTGAAGACTGACAGGTTGCAGGTTCGAATCCGGGGAGAGCGTGGATGAGCTCCCTCTATCAGCTCCAGCTCCTCATACAGGGACATGAGAGAAGCTTTTCTCAAGGATGGTAAAAACATCAAAACATCCAGGCGTCCCCTGGTCAACGTCCTTGCAGACGGCCAATTCTCTCACACCAGAAGCGACTTGCAGTTTCTCAAGTCGCTCCTGACATGACAAAAAAAAAGAATACAAGTAATTTTTGTACAGTATTCAGATTTATCAATGGGTTATACTTTTAATGAGTAAATAAGGATGTTAGACAATATATGTGTGCTGGTAATGCAATTCTGCTTTTGTATCCTTATGATAGATTATTTGGTAATAGTAAACTATAAATTTGTGGGTTTTTTCCTCTTGCTTTGGGATTTTAACAATCTGAAACTGTAGAACCAACAATCATCCAGGGTTTTGTGCCTTTTGATTTCTCTTGCTGTCTGGTTTTGCAACACTGCAATCAAGATTTTTCAGTTCAGAAACTAAGTTGATAGCATAAGCTTGCATAGATTTACATCTGGGGAACTAGATTTAGTCTATGAAAAATTATGCTACCAACTTCATTCTCACAGTTAGTCTCTAAGATGCTACAAGATCCCTTCGCATACTAGATTCTTCAAGTTAATGTAGCAGGAATGTGGCGCATGGGGATCCAAAGATTCAAGGGAAATAAAAAAAGTCTTTTTTTATAGTCAAGGCCATTTTTACCAGTTAGAGCAGTGGTTTTCAATCTGTGGGTCCCCAGATATTTTAGCCTTCAAGTTCCAGAAATCCTAACAGCTGATAAACTGGCTAGGATTTCTGGGAGTTGTAGGCCAGAACACCTGGGGACCCAAGGTTGAGAACCACTGAGTTAGACCATCTTGGCTGGATGCTGGAATTTGGCAGAATTGCAACAACAATAAAATGCTTAAAGAAAATGCTAGATGTCATAAAAGTGGAAACATTTGCAACTATTATACAGTGTGTTACAAAGATGTCGCAGGTAGCTGTTTATAAACTTTTTGAACTGTATAAGCCAGGGGCCCTCAAACTAAGGCACGAGGGCCAGATGCAGCCCTCCAAGGTCATTTACCCGGCCCTTGCTCAGGGTCAAACTAAGTCTAAAATGACTTGAAAGCACACAACAACAACAACAATAATCCTATCTCATCAGCCAAAAGTAGGCCCTCACTTCCCATTGAAATACAAATAAGTTTATATTTGTTAAAATTGTTCTCCATATTAATTATTGTATTGTTTTTAAGTGTTATTTGCACTACCAATAAGATACGTATATGCATAGGAATTCATTCATATTTTTTTTCCAAATTATAATCCGGCCCTCCAAAAATTTGAGGGACTGTGACTTGGCCCTCTGTTTAAAAAGTTTGAGGACCCCTGGTATAAGCTATGCCTGTTGAATGTTGTATAGATATACCAGTGTAATAGCAATTAAATATACGAATGTGGGATTGATCTAACTTGGTGTTAATTCAGAAAAGCACTGAACATTTGAGTGTGATGAGGAACTGATATTTGAAATTTTGTGCTGTAGAATAACAATGTGTTTGAGTACACTGTAGTTCCATCCCTAATGACATTTCCTCTGAGTTGGTGTGTATTTTGGATGGAGGATATAAGGAAAGTGTTCTTGAAGTAAATGGACTGCCGCATTGTGTAAGGCTGAAACACTATTGTGTTGAGGACTTGACTTCTGGTCAAAAGCCTATGCAAAGGTCAGAGACCAGTCTACGTTTTTCCAAAATAATTTTGGAGACTTTGCAAATCCACATTTGCTCAATGTATTCATTGGACCTTTCCCAAATATGAGATCCACACCTCACCATGGGATGAGCAAAAGATTTTGGTTTTAATCTACCATTAGGAAGGCAAACAAACCAAGTGTAGTGACGATTTCAAGTTTTCCATTTATAAAAACTACTAGTCCTCACTATATTATTTCTTCTTTAGGAATACAGGCTACTTCATATTCAAAAATACAGAAAATCCAACAAAGTGGAGTCAAGTACATGCAGCAGCTTCATGGGCTTGAAGGATCACTTGGGACATGATGCAGGCCACCTCTATGGGGATACCGCAGAGACTCAAATAATTGCACCTTGGTCAATGGTAGAGAAGCCAACAATGGATAAAGTTAACTCTAGGAAGGAGGATGCTAATAAGGAGGCTTCTGAAGAAACTGGAAGTTCCAGTTGTGACTCCGAGGAAAGCACAAATTCTGATAATGAATCGGAACAATCAGCTACAATTGGAACAGAATCATGCTTCTTACCGAAGACGCACAGACGGCTATGTAGGTCTCCTTGCCTAGAACCACATATATTAAAACGCAATGAAATCTTGCAAGACCTTAAGCTGGAGGAAGCACAGATAGTGTCTAAAGAAGTTAAGAAGCCTCCTGACGTTGTAAAAGAATATCAAACCAAACTAGAGTTTGCACTTAAGTTAGGTTACTCTGAAGAACAAGTTCAGCTTGTCCTCAACAAACTTGGTACTGATGCTTTAATCAATGATATATTGGGAGAACTTGTCAAACTTGGAAATAAAACTGAAACAGAACAGAGTGTAAGTAATGTTAACAGTAGCTTAATGCGAGAAGCTTCTTCTGTCGAGTCACAGAGATCTCACTCTCCACTTCAGGAAGATGTGCCAGTGGATGGTGATAACCTGAGACCAATTGTTATTGATGGCAGCAATGTTGCAATGAGGTATGTTTGTATATTAATTATAGTTCTTGTACATATTAGATTTACATTTTAAAACAGCTGTAGATTTTATTTATGATTTCTCTTCTAATATTCATTTATTTAATTGCAGTATTGTAGTTTTATTTTTTAAAATTAGTAGTTTTATTGAAAGCTAAAACTAGCAAATAAGAACAGTGATATAGAGTAAGAATAGTATAGCAATTTTTAAAATGCAACTTTTTAAAGTACCTGTAAATTATGAATACGTCCTTTAAAACAAATATAAATAACCTATACGGTATTGCCCTCCACATCCAAACTTCACATGGACACGTGAATCTGTGAATATTAGTGAATCCAAATATTTTCAGTGCAAGAAGCAACAGAGATACTTAGAAGAGAATATGGTTTGTGCAGGAGACATTAAGTGAATAACTGAATATCTGAAACCATAGATAAGTTAAATTGTATATATCTGTTCTGTAGATACAGGGGTGGTACAGTATTATAGATTCTATAACAATGTAAAATTTAAAGTGTGGGATGTTATTCACATTTTAAATAAAACAGAATGAAAAATGAATTGAAATATCCTATGTTTATAGGAAGAGAGCCAGCATGGTGTACTGGTTTGAGCATTGAACTACAACTGGTTTGAAGATTGAGCTACAACAAGGTTCAAATCCCTAATTGACCATAGAAACCCACTGGATGATCTTGGGCAAAACACACTGTCTCAGAGGAAGGCAAAGTTAAAAATCTGATCAAGAAAGCCTCAGGATAAGTTCACCTTAGGGTTATGAAAGTTGGCAGCAATGTGAAGGCACAGAACAATGTATACAGTCACCTTGAATCACATTTTAGGAGAAAGGGATATACATTCAATAAATAATTAGTAAGATTATTCAGTATAGTTGCAGATACTTTTAACCTTATAGAATATCACAGGGGCAAGTATTCTGTGTATATCCAGAAGATCTGCCTAACTAATCTCACACCTATCTCCTCCCCTCATGCTCATTTGCAAACTGGCTAGTGCCAGGGTACACTAGGAGGAAGTGGTCTGCATAAGGAAAAACCCAATTGTCTCAATATCTGCTGATGTGTGGGTCACTGAATACACTACTGCAATATTGTTGCTTTGTGGTTTTCATTACTTATTTCAGCAGTTCTGTCCCCTGTCTTCCTCACTCTACCCTAAATGAAATATGCATTGTTTCCTTTCTAGATCTAAAGCACACGTGTTGCACCATTATTAGCAGAAAACATGATACGAATGTTCAGTTCTCCTTAGGCAGTAGATTCGCTCTTTCTGACTCATTACTGTTTCTATGAGCTAAGCCTAATATTACTCCTTCCTATGGTAGAACCATTTAAATCACTGCAGCTTGGTAATCAGAACTAATAAATCCCACTCATCTCAATTAGTCTATTCTATAACTGCTTTTGAATTTAAGCCTATATACTTCTCATATTACAGTAGTAATTTCTTGAAATAAACTGGGCCATTTAATAAATAAGTAAAAGTAACAAGTGTAACTACGATTTGTCTATTTGGATTATAACAATAGTTACTATTGCTCACTCTTTCATAGATCCACTTGAAATACTATAGCGTAACATTGTATAACATCCACTTGCTTTAAAAGAAATACAATAAAATGTTATGAATCCTCTTTTCCAAATATGTAGAACTGCCCCTCGTGAGGGGCTTTTTGCCACATATATTCATCATTGTATTATTATATATTTTCTTCCATGATACTGAAAAATCTCAGTGATATTATGGATATTACTAATATATTATGAATATAAGCTTGATTAGGTAGAGAAAGGAAAGAAGGGGCACAGCTTTTTCCAGAAACTATAGTATGTACTTTGTGAAAAATTTAAAACACAAGAGTAAAACACTTTAAATCCCAAGGATCAGCACAAGATTTTTAGGCCCAGAATGAAATATTTAAATGCCATCACCTAAACAGGAGTTAATATATATATTTAAGATCTTAAAATCATATAATCATGCCTCTAATATAGGAGTCCCCAGGAGTGCAGTGGGTTAAACACTTGTGCCAACAGGACTGTTGACCGAAAGATTGGCCGTTCGAATCCGGGGAGCAGGATGAGTTCCTGTTTATCAGCTCCAGCTTCTCATGCAGGAAGATGAGAGAAGCCTCCCACAGGATGGTAAAGCATCCGGGTGTTCCCTGGGCAATTTCCTTGCAGTCAGCCAATTCTCTCACAACAGAAAAAACTTGCAGTTTCTCAAGTCACTCCTGACACGAAAAAAAAAATCATGCTTCCTGACAGCCATGGCCTAGGGATGTTATTTTCAAGCCCTGCCAAAAAGTCGTAACATCTATTGTGAAAACAAAATAGATGTCATTACATAACAGAAAGATTTAGTGTTGGTGCTGTAAAGTCAAGTATAATGCTTTAGTAAACCAGGGCTGCAAGCCAAAATAGCTGATTATCCATATCTGAAGGGACAAAATGAGCTTTCTCGGCAGCTTCTACAGCTGCAGCCAACAAGATAAGCCACTAGTTCCTCCACTGTGGGAACTGAAAGGATGATGAAAAATATAGCTTCAGTTGTATAAATGTGGGAGGTCCTTTCAAGCACAACGTTGTGGCTTTTTGAGTGTGTCGTCTTTTTCTAGAAAACACCATAAATGCTACTCCAGTGTGTTCAGAACTTCAGACTAATAGAAATGAACCCCTTACCAAATAACATTCCAGTAATTCAGAATGTTACTTTGTGAAAATAATCCATTTCCATTACTGTTTGAAAAGTAACCCACTGTAATGTTGAAAGAATACTTGTTGCATCGATCATTACTTTTCTGTTGCTTTTGAATACTTTTAGGAATGAGGAAAAAACCACTGAATTGATAAGAGAGTCACTTAAAACTTTAACAATTCCTCTAAAAACATCTCTAAAATGTATTTTCAATGTGATTTTTAAAAAGTCACTAGAAATGGCAACTCACTACAACAGTAAGGAATGTCACCTTCACTTTTTATATTACTAATAATTCCTGCCTTTGTTGCCCTCCCAAAAATAACTTTTTGCTCCAGGCAATTGCATTACATATTAGTCTCACATTTGGTGCTGGTTATTGATCATAATCATACAGAAATAAATACTAGTCTCACTGAAGCGATGGTCTGATCATTTGCCAGCAGTTCTCTGCCTTTACCTGTCTTTCTCCCACTGTTCAATGTCATGTGAAACAGGTCCCTTCATCCTGCTTTGGGATGGGATCAGCTTTGACAACAGTATCATGTTATTGTATTTATTCAGTATATTTCTTACTTTGCTTGCAACCTAAATTCTTTGAAGAAGTGAGCATTAAAGTATTTAGTCTTGTTCAATAAAGTAGATAAAATATATAGTATATCACTATAATAAATAAAAAAACCCAATGCCATAATAAATAATAAAAGTAAAGTACCATCGTATGTAATAATACAGAAGTCTATCCTGGGCATTGAAGGTTGCCATCATAATAACACCGCAGTCTGTTCAGAATTTTTGTATTCATGGGTCTTTTTATGTAGTTTCAATTTTCCTGTTGACACATATTTTCTTCAAGACATTCCAGAACCTGATTGATAGAGCATAAAACGTTCATTAATACTCCAGAAGACGAGCAGAATTCAGAATGATCTGAACAGACTACAGAGATGAGCCAAAACTAACAAAATGAAGTTTAATAGAGACAAATGCAAGATACTACACTTAGGCAGAAAAAATGAAATGCGAAGATACAGAATGGGGGATGCCTAGCTCGATAGCAATACGTGTGAAAAAGATCTTGGAGTTCTCATGGACAAGTTAAACATGAGCCAACAATGTCATGTGGCAGCTAAAAAAGCCAATGGGATTATGGCCTGCATAAATAGGAGTCTGGTGTTTAGACCCAAGGAAGTCATGCTACTCCTCTATTCTGCCTTGGTCAGCTGGAATACTGTGTCCAATTCTGGGCACGGCTATTGAAGGGAGGTGTTGACAAACTGAAATGTGTCCAGAGGAGGGCGACAAATGGTTAAGGGTCTGCAGAACAAGCCCTATGAGGAGCGGCTTAAAGTGCTGGGCATGTTTAGCCTGCAGAAGAGAAGGCTGAGAGGAGACATGATAGCCATGTATAAATATGTGAGGGGAAGTCATAGGGAGGAGGGAGCAAGCTTGTTTTCTGCTGTCCTGGAGACTAGGATGCGGAAAAATGGCTTCAAATTACAGGAAAGGAGATTTCTAACTGTGAGAGCTGTTCAGCAGTGGAACTCTCTACTCCGGAGTGTGGTGGAGGCTCCTCCTTTGGAGGCTTTTAAACAGAGGCTGGATGGCCATCTGTCGAGGTGCTTTGAATATGATTTTCCTGCTTCTTGGCAGGGAGTTGGACTGGATGGCCCTCAAGATCTCTTCCAATTCTATGATTCTATGATTGAAACTCCTTGACCAAGAAGTTGCATATGACTTAAACCTAGATCTTGCAAAAAGGCAGCCACGGTTTTACATGCCTAAATTACACTCCTACACCCTGAACTTTTTTTTTTTTTTTGTCGTGTCAGGAGCAACTTGAGAAACCAAGTCGCTTCTGGTGTGAGAAAATTGGCCGTCTGCAAGGACGTTGCCCAGGGGATGCCCGGATGATTTGATGTTTTATCATCCTTATGGGAGGCTTCTCTCATGTCCCCGCTTGAAGAGCTGGAGCAGACAGAGGGAGCTCATCCGCCTCTCCCCGGATTCGAACCTGCAACCTGTCGGTCTTCAGTCCTACCGGCACAGGGGTTTAACTCTCTGCACCACCGAGGGCTCATACCCTGAACTAAATAATGGATTTTATCCGGTAGTGGCCTTACTAAAAAAGAAAGTCTCTCAGGTATCAGAACACCTGGTCCTGGGATGAACCTGGTTTGTGGGATGAGGAACAGCAGGCTTATATAGAAAGGAAAAGGGGGAAAATCTGCTAAGGTGTAAATGCCATCATTGCATATAATGCTGGATAGAATCTGTCATTGAATATGCCCCAGAATTTTTATCCGCTAAGGCACGTTTTTATTGAATTCTACATTTTTACGTCTGACCAGAAGGCTGAGGCTGATACACAGCAATTTTTAGCAAGTCCTGTTGAGATCATACAGGCATGAAAACTTGACTGTGAAATCAAAGTGCAGTTAATCGTAGATACCCCGCTGCCTTTAATGGAATCAGGCTTTCGCCCAGCAGGTCTTATAGCTTCTACCTTAGTAATGAACCATGCTAAGCTTGCCTTGAAAAGTACATCCAATTACACGAACTGACATTTCCAAGAAGCTGCTGGTGGTGAAAGAAAAACTGTTGCATCTACATAACATTGTTTTCCCATTGCGCATCTCTTGTTCCCATGCTGGCATGAACGTTTCCTTTACCATAGTACAAATCATGAGGAGAAATATGGCCATAAATTAGTGACAGTGTTCTCCCAACAAGGTTGCCTTCAAGTTCTATTTGAAGGCAACCTTGTTTTGCCTTGTATTATTATTGACATTGGTATTGTTTATTATTGACAGTAGAATATGAATGGCCCTTCAATGGTTAGATACAGCTATGAGTCGCCTTAGGGCTGAGAATGGAGGTATATAAATGAAGTAAATAAATACAGATTAATTGTGGATTTCTATGAATTCAAAGAACAAGGGTGATAAGTGTGTGATTTCTGTGACTTCACTTCCATTTTCTAGGCCAATAATACTTTAGAGTCATATTCTGTATTGATCAGATTCGTTTAAGTGCTAAAAATGAGGTCTTGTTGTTGTTTTTTCCTAATAGAAGGGAACAATAAAGAGATTCTCACTGTATGGAGTTGATAAAAATACCTTTATTGATTTTGCATCATCCTTCCTAGCTTTCTCTTTCCTGTTGATATCTGAAAAAATGTGCCTGATTGAGTAGCTTTTAAATACATGTTAGTATTAAGTAATTTTTCCCACCAATGGCATTACTTTTTCTGTGGTAGTGGGGTTGCGTGCTAATAGGGTCTCCCATGTCATACAGGCTTTTTTGTTGGGGAGCCAGACTAAATGTGCCAAACAGCAACAGTCGTTGCTGGCGGCAGCAGTAGTGAAGGCTGACTCATGTTTCTCAAACTGTGGGTCCCCAAATGTTTTGGCCTTCAGCTCCCAGAAATCCTAACAGCTGGTAAACTGACTGGGATTTCTGGGAGTTGTAGGCCAGAACACCTGGGGACTCGGGTTGAAAACCACTGCTCTAAGAGAAGATCTTTCAGAGACGAAGGCAGTACCTTCATAGCTAATACTTGCTAGTACTGTGCAATAGGAGGCACAGTGAACCCTTTTGAATGCCTTTTACCATAAAAACCCTAGAATGAGACAATCCAAAAATTAAAAAGAGATCGAACCAAAAGATAAAACTCCTATTTTGTATGGCACTCACTGAGTTATTGGTATACAACAGAGGACAGCTATCCGTAGTGCTGTTGCTAATGGCACAGTTGAACTCTTCACTGAAAGGACATTCAGCTGTTGACATGCTCAGAGATGAAAGGAAAGTCTGAAGCTTCACAACCCATATTAAAGGAATGTGATGCGCATGGAGCAGGGAAAGCTAGACATAGTGAAAGAAGAAATTGAATGTATAAACACTGCAATATTTGGAGTGAGTGAGCCTAAGTGAACAGGAATGGGACATTTTGAGTCAGGTAATTACAGTGTTTTGGTCTGTGTGAAGACACATTACTAATATTGCATTTATATATGCTGATTCGTAATGCTTATAATACAACATATCAGTGATTTTTTTTGGGGTGGGGGATATCTTTTTCAGCCATGGAAACAAAGAAGTATTCTCTTGTCGAGGAATTAAACTGGCAGTGGACTGGTTTTTGGAAAGAGGCCACAAAGATATCACCGTGTTTGTGCCAGCATGGAGAAAGGAACAGTCTCGACCGGATGCTCTCATTACAGGTATATACTGCTCTGCTTAAATATCTTTAGTGAAAAATCTTGTGACAATGGTAATATCACTCTTTTGATTGCTTAAACAAATATTGCAGTAGATTCTGTGCTTTAGAATAGCTATTGCGGTTACAATTACATGCTGAGGTTTAAAGCTTTCTTTCTATGGAAACTATTATCACTCTGTGGGTATGGTCTTAGGTTGATGGATTTATCAACAGCTGTTGACTTTGATAAGGACTGGAACCTATAGATACAGAATCACTTATATCTCTGAGCTGCAGATGTTTTGATTAGACAAAAGAAAAACATTCAATTTTTCTTTAAGTTTCCACGAGATACCCTGTTCTGGCCACTGATGGAACTAGGATGTTAGACTAGGTCGATCTTGGGTTCGATCCAGCACAGTGACTCTTAAGAGTATTATCTTCCTTCCTGAACATAAAGGGCTTAGTAAGTTTCTGATTAAGTATGCAAACAGAACTATATATTGTCAACAATGATGCCAGGAAGAATTTCCCTGTGAAGGATTATATTCCCTGCTACAGCTCTGAACTTTGTACTGAAATCTAATGGGAAATCAGCTGAATGGACGGAGATCTTTTTCCTGTTACAAAAAGGACATATCCTCCAGAAATCAGAAATATGGTTGGAAAATATAAGCATTGAAGAAGGATTACCTTAAAATGGTGCTCTAGCTTATGTATGCATATTAGCATGGGGTGTTTGGTGGATCAGTAGTGCCAGCAACACAATATGGAAGAAGATACATAAAGTAATTTTTCATTATAAATCTGTTTATTTGGAAAAATTATAATTAAATTCAATCACATATTAAACAAAGATGCCTATATCCAGTTATTAAATATTGACATTAATCATGCACACACTGTCATTTATACATATTTCATAGAATCGTAGAGTCGAAAGGGCCCCATGGGGTATCAGGTCCAACCTTCTTCAGTCAGACTCATATCCCCAGCAGGTAGCTCTCCATGTTGTTGTTGTTCATTCGTTCAGTCGTCTCCGACTCTTCGTGACCTCATGGACCAGTCCACGCAGAGCTCCCTGTCGGCCGTCACCACCCCCAGCTCCTTCAAGGTCAGTCCAGTCACTTCAAGGATGCCATCCATCCATCTTGCCCTTGGTTGGCCCCTCTTCCTTTTGCCTTCCACTTTCCCCAGCATAATTGTCTTCTCTAGGCTTTGCTGTCTCCTCATGATGTGGCCAAAGTACTTCAACTTTGTCTCTAGTATCCTTCCCTCCAATGAGCAGTCAGGCTTTATTTCCTGGACGATGGACTGGTTGGACTCTCCATACTCTTTTTGAATTAGACAAGAGAAGATAACCTCACCAACACTTTGAGCAGTTGGTTCTACTGCCAAACCACTCTCACTGTCAAGATGTTCCTTTGAGATCTTATCATCTTTTAACTGAAAACTAATAGAATTATTTCTACCCTCTGGAGCAGCAGAGAACAAGCCTGCACCCACTTTTTGTGTCTGCTCTTGAGGTGTTTAAAAAGTGTAATCATATCACCCCTCAGAGTTCTCTTCACCGTCTGCAGTGTTTTAAATCATTTTTAACATAATTGGCTGTATTTGAAGAATTACTACTATACTGAAATACAGGAAGCCTCCAAGTTATGAACAAGATAGGTTCTGTAGGTTTGTTCTTAAGTTGAACTCCAGACACACACACACATGGTTTGAATAGCATAGGAAAAGATTAAAAGCGCTGCAGTGTTTGTTTTGCTGTCTGTGCCCATGTTCAGAAGATTTCACCTCACTTTGATTTTATGAATTCCGTTATTTTTTTATAATGAATTTACCCCCTTTCTCCCCAATTGCTCAGACTTTCATCTTTTTTAATGACCCTTCACCCCTTTTTCTCTCAGCCTATTTTAATTATCTCTTCTCAGTTTTCTGTTTCATCTGTCGCCTTTTACTAGTTCTAGGTGCTCTTTCCAATCATCATTCTGTATTTCTTTTTCCTACTTTGCCATGTCTCCCACAACCATTTCCCTCTAGATCAGTGGTTCCCAACCTTTTTTTGACCAGGGGCCACTTGATCAGGGGCCACTTTGACCCGGGACCACTAGCCAACATTACTATCCAAAGGGTTATGATTCTGAATCAGTTAGTGGTCAACTTTAGATTCGCTTTGGTTATTTGGGATGCTGATTCAGAAAATTGCATTGGATAGACCACATCAGCTCTAGTTTCTGATACAGAACATAAGCCATCGAGTACTTGCCATCTGCTCACCCACAGAAAACCATATTTAATCAGCCTTGGCACTATAAGAAGGTTTCGTGAGACCAGTCGCTCTTGTTGCAACGGTGAGGCAGCAGACCATATTTTAGTTCTTGCAGACCACTGGTGGTCCACAGACCACAGGTTGGGAACCACTTCTCTAGACTTTCCCCCCCCCCCCCCCCATCTCTCTCTCTCTCTTTCTCTCTCTCTCTCGTATAATCCATGCACTTACACTATATCTCTCATCATTTCCCATTGTCATGTACCAATGGAATACCCCCTTGCCTCAGCAGCTTGCTTCTTATGGACACACACTTTATCATAAGTCAGAAGTCATGGGATTCTTCTTTCTGGCTTCCCTCCCTGCCGTTCTTTGCTTCCAATTGTGATTTACATTACTGTCTAGTATAGCAGCCTTTCCTCCCGCATAATTAAACTCAAAGATAATAGATGAGGATTAGAAAACGGAGAGCATCAAAAAAAAGTCCCCTAGATTGTTTGCAGAGAAATGTTCTCACACTTACATTTAATTGTGGGGGGAGGGGATACATTGCTCTCAGGCTTCAGTTTGGGTGTTCCCCTAATGTAATTAAGGTCATTAGTATTATCACATTGGTTCTAGTTTCCTGGAAGTCCTTTTAGAACCTTCAGAATTATTGAACCCCTCATTTTGAACCTTATAATCTAAGTAGCCTTCCAACTCATTTATTTTTAGTTGGCTCATATTGTTGGAAAGGAATATGCATGTGATACAATAATGCCCTTCCAGTGGCTATGCTGGCTGGGGTTGATGAGATCTGTGGTACAAAACGTCTGGATAAGGAAGCTATATTAAGGCTTTTTAATCATCATCTGCAACTGTATGCATGGCTCAAACCAGAAGCCGTTGCTCTTTAGAACAATTATCTGAAACTACTTTGGCAAATTCTGCTCACATTCCTATTTTAATAGCGATTGAAGTATATGTATATGTGTTTAATTGCTCAGTGATGCAATTTACAAGGATTGAACTATACTTTATTATTGGAATTTATTGGAATTAACTGTAGTAATATGTGTAAGCATGGCAATAGTACCCAAGATGAATTGTTGTTATGTTTATATGTAGTTAATGTGTTATTGAATTATAACAATCTGTTTCCACTGGAATCAGAAGTTTTTTCGTTTAGTACTTTGATATTGAAGTCATTGTTGTCTAACCTGAAATGTTTTCATCCGCTATCATGTAACAAAGCTCAGTAGATTCAGTTTAATCTTGGCTTCTCTTCAGTGTTTCTGCTTTTTCCCCTTCTCTCTTAATGTTTCTAGATCAAGAAATCTTACGTAAATTAGAAAAAGAGAAAATTCTGGTGTTCACCCCATCGCGCCGTGTTCAGGGGAGAAGGGTGGTATGCTATGACGACAGGTTCATAGTGAAGTTGGCCTTTGAGTCTGATGGTATAATTGTGTCTAATGATAACTACAGGGATCTAGCTAACGAAAAGCCAGAATGGAAGAAATTCATTGATGAACGACTGCTGATGTATTCATTTGTCAATGACAAGTAAGTAATGCCAATTTTTCCCTCGCTACATAAAAAGTCACTGACAACAAGGCTTGAATTACATTATAGATGCTTTCATGCCTACATACACATACACACATCCCTCGTACCATTTTGGCATGTTTGACTGTAGTCATATATCTGACATCTGGTGCTTTTATAGAAACCTATATGCACAAGGGCCCAATTTGTCCTGAATATAGTGAAACCATGGAAATTAGACAGGCATGTGCATGGATCTTTGCATTGAACGTCAACCTCACACATTATTTTCCATGAACAATAGAACAAGAGGATGTATACAGGCAGCTCCCCTGTTACACACAAGATATGTTCTGTAGGTTTGTTCTCATGCTGAATTTGTTCGTAAGTCGGAACAGGTACATTTTTAAAGTTTAACTACAGCCATTTAGCTAACTAGCTATCTAGCTTTGGATAGCATAGGGAAGAGTGAATATTCCTCTGGTGTTTGTTTTCCTGTTCAGAATATTTCACCCCCCTTTCTGTCTCTATGAGAAAAGTAGGGAAGCTGCAAGCCATTCAATACTAATCAAGGTGGCTATTTGCAACATTCACACTTCCCTCAAACAGACAAGAGTTCTTTCCCCCACCCTGGACGTTCCACAGATACAAACCCCATTTGCTTAGTTTCCAACAAATCCCACATGGAGTACTTCCTCATTCTTCTGCATGCTGCTGGAAGGTTTTATGGTGTCGTAAATTAGTTAAATTAGCCTCCTCTCATAAAGGGGTACCTAAATTTCCTACTTGACAGATGCAACTATCTTTCGGGCTGCATAGGTCAACAGCAAGCTAAACTATTAATGATCGGGAGCTTACTCCAACCCAGGCTGGCTTTGAACTCATGACCTCTGTCAGTAGTGATTGAATGCATCTGGCTACTATCTATCTGCACCACAGCCCGGTCTTCAGGAGATTATGCTTCTGGAACATGCCATACAGCCCAGAAAACTCACAGCAACCCAATTCCGCGTTGTTTGTAAATTGGGACGTTTGTAATTCAGGGACTGCCTGTGTATTTGTCTTGCAAACTAAAGCACTGGATCCATTAAAATCAATGAGATGTAGCCTAATTTATACCACATCCATTTCAATGGATCTGATTCCATTAAATGTATCTAATGTAAACAAATATTAACTCAGATGGATTGGATGGCCATCTCTTCCAATTCCCTGATTCTGTGGTACAGTGAAGTTTCAGACTATCTGAAAGACCATCTCTCCCTATATGAGCTTGTTCATGTTTTGAGATTCTCAATGAAGAGCTTTCGCCCAGCCCCATCGTTGCCACAGGCCTATGCGGTGACCACACACTCCTGGGCTTCTCCATGGCTTTCCCCAGGTTGTGAAATTCTCTATCACAGAAGACGAGGCTGGTCTCTTCTCTGCTCTTCTTTATCCCAGCAAGAAAAGACCTGTTGATTTAAACAAGCTTTTGGTGATTAAATGACTTAAGAAAGGTCTTTTAATTATGTGTTGTGAATGTGGTCCCTTTTTAAAAACTTCTATTATGTTTGAAATGCTTTTTTAAATTTGCTTTAGGTATTGTATTGTTGTATTGTGTTTTGAGGCCTTGGCCTGTGTAAGCCGCATCGAGTCCTTCGGGAGATGCTAGCGGGGTACAAATAAAGTTATAATAATACTGTTTTAAATAGGCCCATACATCTGATTAACTAACAGACATGTTTTCCCTTCTTGTCTCTCATGATTTCAGCTTCAAAGTGTTTTTAATTTATCATATCTATTAAAACTAGCAGTATGGGCCTATACATGGTTTTGTTCATTTTCTCAGAGCAGTATGCAGAACATGTCTGAAGCGCCTTGTTGATTTTAATTGTATTATATCTTCTATAGATTCATGCCTCCAGATGATCCACTTGGACGCCATGGTCCAAGTCTAGATAATTTTCTGAGGAAGAAACCTGTTGTTCCGGAACACAGGAAGCAACCATGTCCATATGGTAATGTCATTTAACCCAGCTCAGCTTATGGTTTTTTTTAAGCATTGTTTATTTGTTTCCATGTAAATGCTGATAATAGCTTACTGCAGATTTGTTTTTGTTTTTTTACTCCAGTCTTTTCATTGAACAATGGTTCCAGAGTTAGAAAGCATCAGGATCTGTGATTTGCAAAATCAAACTGATCAAATTAGAGCTTGGAGAAGTTATTATTTATGCTTCAGTTCCATAGTTTCTCCATAATTTTAGGAGCTGTGCTTTTAAAAAGCTTCCAAGCTCTAGTATCATGCTGTATAGACCTTAATATACCTATATTTCCCTGCTCAGTCAAACATTTTTTGGGAAGCTGATGTGATGTCTCATATAAATTCGTTGGTCAGAGAATGGAATATTGACCTCTACCCCACTGGGTGTCATGGGAAAGAATTATTGCTAAAGTGTAGAAATCAAAATGCAACTAGTGGCATGTATCACATTAATAATACTATTTCTGATTTAATACCAGAATATTTAGCTAGCTTGAAAGCATGTCCAATATCTTCTGTTTCATTTTCAATACCCTTTCAAAATATCTCTTAACATTGCAGTAGAATTAAAATATCTCTTCCTTCCCTTCTGTTTGTTTAAACTTTCAAACAAATACATACAGGGAAGAAATGCACTTATGGACACAAATGCAAGTACTACCATCCAGAAAGAGGAAATCAGCCTCAGAGGTCAGTAGCTGATGAACTTCGTGCCATGTCTAGGAACACAGTTGCCAAAGCTGCTAGTGAAGGGGGGCTGGTGAAGAGCAACAGTGTTCCTTGTAGCACAAAAATCGATAGCACTTCCGATCTCAAGCGAGCTGCTCCAAAGAGGCAATCAGACCCTAGTATAAGGACTCAAGTCTACCAAGACTTGGAGGAAAAGCTTCCCACCAAAAACAAATTGGAAACCAGGTCTGTTCCTTCTTTAGTTAGTATACCGAATTCTGCTGCTGCAAAACCCCAAAGTACTGCACCTTTAAGCAATGGCCTTCCATCTGGAGTCCATTTCCCACCTCAGGATCAAAGACCACAGGGACCGTATCCTCCAGTGATGATGGCAACCAAAAATCATGGAACGCCCATGCCTTATGAGCCGTATCCCAAATGTGAGTCTCCTGTGGATGTAGGCTACTACTCTATGCTGAGTGCATATTCAAACCTAAGTCTTTCTGGGCCACGAAGTCCTGAAAGGCGTTTCTCTTTGGACACGGATTACAGAATAAGTTCTGTAGCTTCTGATTGTAGTAGCGAAGGAAGCATGAGCTGTGGCAGTAACGATTCCTACATAGGCTACAATGATCGGTCCTACATGAGTTCTCCTGACCCCCAACTGGAAGAGAATCTGAAGTGCCAACATATGCACCCCCATAGCCATGTAAACTCACAGTCTTTCTTGCAGAGCTACCGTGATACCCTCTCCAGAGTTCCGAGTTACAGTCATGAAGAACCAAAGCATCATCACAAACCTCCACTTCCATACATGGCTGTACACCTTCACCACCCCAGTGTTGGGGCTCGTTCCAGTTGTCCTGGCGACTACCCTGCTGCTCAAAGTTCTCAACATTCAAAGAGCGTACACCTTGGGAGAGCCCTTGCGTCCACAAGAGTAGACAGCATATCAGACTCACGTTTGTATGATAATTCTCCCTTGAGACAAAGAAAATCATACTCTGGTCAAGAGGGACTTGGCAGTTGGGATAGGCAAGGCTATGGAATGGATGCGTATAGCTTTCGTCAAACCTATTCCTTGCCCAGTAACCCCTCACAGCCATGCTATGAGCCATTTGCTTTCCAAAGCTTACCTGAGCAACAAGAACAGCCTTGGCGGATACCTTACTGTAGAATGCCTCAAGACCCTCCAAGGTACTTGGACAGCCGAGAGAAAGTCTACATAAACCTGTGCAACATTTTCCCCCCTGACCTTGTGAGAATTGTTATGAAAAGGAATCCTCACATGACAGACGCTCAGCAGCTTGCTACAGCCATTTTAGTGGAAAAATCGCAGTTAGGTTATTGATGACATGATGATGATGCATCTTTGCGGTGTCTATTAGTTCAGTTTCAGCTGTAATGCTGAGGGAGGTTTGCTACAATAGCATTTCTGATCTCCTTCTCAGCAAGGAGGTTATATAGTAATCCATTTATGTGAAATACTGTGCCATAGAATCTGTATGTAAAACCCCATGCATTGGAAGTGACAGACTTGGTTTTAAACGCTCACACGGTTTTTAAAAAATATAATATTTCATAGCTGGGAGGTCCTTCCAATTTAATATATTATTATATCTGCGTTCTCTGAATAGATTCTTTGGTGCATCTGGGGGTTTATATGCAGCACTTTCTAATATTGTTATGTATTTATATTGGGGTGTTATGTCTTTCAAGTGCAAAAAAAAATATATCTTTTTTAAACTCCAGATAACTGAAGAGGATTTTATGCACCTAGCCAATGTTTTTTCTTCAAGCCAAGCTTATGAACTCTTTTTTAAATTGCAATTAAGTTATTTAATTTTATTGTGTTATTTTTGTGTGTTCTATAATCATTTTATTTATAGAAAGCAAAGGTCTTCTACTTCACAGATTTTATTTTTAAGGAATTTGCGAGTTACCAGTTTTCACACTGAAATGAGTAACGAAATTAGTACTTTATAGTATGGCACTTTTTATTTTATTTTAATTGAAATTATTTGTTGATTATTTTTTATTTTTTCTGTAAGCAGAAGCAATCAGTTCGAGAGAAACCTGCTATCACTAATTTATTATGTAGAAGGCAAAAGCCTTGTGTGCAAGTTTTGAAGATGTTAAGTTCATCTGATTCATACTTGTCTAAAATCAGGCCACCAATCTGTCGGTGTAGGCAACAACTTTACCCAGCCAATGTGTAGTTCCATTCATTAGAAATGGCAGTGACATTGAGATATGTTTAAGGTGTGTCTCTTGCTCCTTTAATTAATGTGCAGGTATACTGGACAAAATGCTTTTTTCATAAAAAAAACCACCTGTTTTTAAATGAAATGAATTGTTCTCAATGCAATTTTTGTATATAAGATATTGTATATTTTTCATCCTATTTATCAAACTGGCCTGAGAAGGTTTTTATGTTGTGTTGAATATATGCAACATGTTATTAACTGCACTATAGTAATAATAGTATTATAGTATTATAACTGGGGTTATTCCACTCTTTCTTGTGACATACTGGCCAGGATCCAATGGTGTTGCTGATAGAAGCAAGTTGCCTGCAGGCCTGTGGAAGGGGATGAGTTAAATCCCACACATTGCATGCAGCTCCCTTACAGTCTCAAAGTCTTCTCTAGAGAGCTGGGAAATTATCCAGAGCAGATTTTCAAGCAACACGTAAGAGGGAGAACAGAAGGAGAAACTCCTATTATGCCAGGGAAAGTACACTAGTGCAGTGCTGTATCCTGGCTCAAATAGACTGTGTTCTCAAGTTAGTTTGTCTAACCTGTTGAATGTAGGTCTCATTCTCTCTAGAAGCCACATAGTTTTAAAAGAAAATAGGCTTGTCTCTTCTAGTATTTTTAAGGGAGATTTCTGGTTTTAAGTTATGGGTTCTGCTAGCTCTTTTAAAGTGTAATTTTACATAGAATAGCAATTGATCTGGTAGTCAGCGACTTTATAGGCCTTGCAATCAGCTGCTTACACACTAGGATTTCCTACGGAGCAACATACTGTGATGTTTCCTTAGTATTCAGTGCTAGTGCTGATCAATGTGTGTGCAGCTGTCACCTGAAGACCCTGTAGAACCAGAAAGTACCTTTTACTGTTGATACAAATTGTATCTTTAACTATGAGAACGATTTTAATTTATAGATCTAATGGTAAAACACACACACACACACACAAATGTCTGTAGATGATTTTCGAGACTTTGGGCAACATTTTATCACTTATTTTTAAAAAGGAAAAGAAAATGAAGCTAAAGGAAAGTTGTTGAGTCCTTATACACTGCACACATTTTCCTCCTATTTAAAGATGTCTCTTTCTCATGCTCTAAAACAATATTGAGTGAGATCTTACCTGAAAATATTGATAAAATGCTGCCTGAAAAGAGTGTCCAAGCACCTTTGAATAGGAAAACATTTTTGACTACTTCTCCAACACTGTGTGTTGTAAGAAGTAGGATTTTGGTATACCGTAAATGCTCCTATAAAGCATTGTGCTTATAAATATATCCAATAATCTGAACCATGTTCAGCAACTTTGATTCATTATTGTTCTTCTATACTGCTCTTACTGTTGACTGATGACATAGGATATGAGTTCTCTTAGGCATGCTTCTCCTAACCTGGTAGCATCCATGTATGATGGACTATAAATCCCAACATGTTAGGTTGATGGGAGTTGTAATCTAACACTGTTGGGAATTGCAAATGGTTAGGAAAGCCTGTGTTGAATTCCTCTGCCCTCCTGTAGGTGCTATCTTATGTTTTGTCCATCTCTCCTGAAGGAGAATGTAGGTCCCATTTCTTCTTCTGAAATTGTTTGTTCCCTATTTATATAGAGTAGTTTTAAATAAGAAATTGTACATAGTGTATTGTGCACAAGACTCCACTGCCCTTTACATGAATAGAATTTGTGCAAAACCCTGACTTGTTTGTTACCACTACAGCAAAAATTCCTGGTGGACTATGAATTCATGTGTTGTTTAATGGCTTTATATTGTAATTTTGAATTTTTACTGTCCTCTTACCTTATCCATGGTTTAATGGGATTCCTTATCCCTTGGGAGTGCACAGTGTTGAAACATATGTCTTCTGGAATGGGATATGTTCATAATTTGCTTTTTAATTTGTCTTGTGGTATGTTGCTAAAGGAAGCTGAAGCCTGGCAACGTGGCACAGAGTGTAAAAACGGTTTTCTGTGCATTGAGTTGTTGTAGGGTTTTCTGGCTCTATGGCCATGTTCTAGAAGCTTTTTCTCCTGATGTTTCGCCTGCATCTATGGCAGGCATCCTCAGACCTCACAACCTCTAAGGATACCTGCCATAGATGCCGGCAAAATGTCAGGAGCGAATGCTTCTAGAACATGGCCATACAGCCCGAAAAACCTACAACAACCCAGTAATTCTGGCCATGACAGCCTTCGACAATACATTGTCTGTGCTACGATATGAAGTGAGATTTTTCTGTGTTCATGTAATGTAGAATGATTATACAAGAATATGCCCTTCATTTATAGATGAACAGAGGTTTGCTGGTCTAGAGAGTCCAGAACCATGGTGGCCCTGTTTAATGACCTCCTTCAGTCCTGAAACCTGATTTTAGCTCTCCTTGTGCACCAGGAGAAGGTGGGAGTTAAAAAAGAAAATCCCATGACTCCACTGCATTCTGCTGCAGGAGCTTTTCAAAACACTCCATGTTTTGAAAGATTAATATGCCTGGTATCAGTACTTATTCTGAAATGAATTGGTTGGCTGGTCCATCTGTAATTATGCTGTCTCCTGAACAGATCCTTACCTCTCTCAATTGATTGGGCTCAGCCCAACAATATACTTAGTTTGAAGAGTCATTTTCTAAAGGGAAAATCAAGAAATTGTATGACACTTTTACTAGCATGCATTACTGGGCTTATTCCCTTTACCTTTTTCAGTTCCAAGCCTGCCTTTTACTATTACCAAAACTGATTAAAAAAGCTTATATCTTTTCTCCAGGAAGATTTAAACATAGATGCGACTGTGAAACTAAATCCTGAAACTCCCCAACATTTCAGGCAAGAGAGAGACTAGACAATGTTGTGTAATATTTCTCCTTATTTTTCTAAATGTCAAGGTCCCCCAACCTAGTATTTGTACAATGTAGCAACTGCATATGAATTAAATCTATTAAAATTAATGAGCTTTAAATTAATAATGACTGAAGTTCCATTGACAATCAGTCTACATTTAACTTTTATTTGAGCTCTCATATCTATCTATCTGTCTATCTATCTATCTTTACTTCACTACTAGTTTGCATTCTTAACTCCTTTTAGATTATGGATATCTTCACAGTTTTGATTGATATATAAAGTTTCCTGCTGGTCTTAGTTTGTATTTGATTTAGTAAGTTGGACATCTGTTTGCATTTAATGCTCAATGGTACTGCTTTGTTCACTGCACTTGGATGTGGTCATCCAGTCATTGTTAAATATTAAATATTCAGGTTTCTCTATGGAGTCTTGGTCTCTCCCTACTTTTAAAGTTGTTGGCTATCTGTTGAGAAGAAAAATACTCCACATGAATATCATAATTGTAATGCTTCACTTTATCTACAGCTTCTAAAAACACACATATTTATGGAGACATCAGTAAATCAGCAAATTAGGTTTCATCAAATATAAAGCAAAGTTTTGGGTCTAGAATCTTGTTACATGATAGAGTACAAGTGAGCTGTAATTTCATATAATACTTTTATTTTTTCTTAGTTTTTTGTTGTTCTTTCTGTTTGTAAACATTTCCATTTTTGCTTAATGTTCTTTTCTTTGTTGGTCTTGCTCCTTTCCAGGCCATCAATCCTTAGTCATGAGGTATCTACTTTTTCGTTGCCCCTCAACCCCATCTACCCTCTTTGGGAACTTGTGTATTCTATTTCACTTTCCTCAGATTGACTCTACATATCAATGTCCATTCAATGCTCTTATCACTCAAATAGTTCATAGCAAAGGGCACAACACACTCTTGAGGCCTGAAAGTTTCATACAAGCAGGTATGCACATTTTTAAAATATGTGATAACATTTGAGATGTTGCCTAATATTTAAATGTTATATTCTGTTTTAATTTTGTTCATCTTTGTTTCAAGTAATAGAGTAGGGAATTATTTATTTTGACATATTGTCATGGGAATTATTTAATTCTCATATTTAAAATGGGGAAGTGGGAGATCTGCCCTTTTTCATATTAGAATATGAAATGGGGGGGGGGGGGGGGGGAGAGAAGAGAAAAGGTATTTTGTACAAGATTCCTCTAAGCCAGTGGTTCTCAATCTGTGGGGCCCCAGATACCCCCAGGCCTTTAACTCCCAGAAATCCTAACAGCTGGTAAACTGGCTGATATTTCTGGAAGTTGTAGGCCAAAACACCTAGGGACCCACAGGTTGAGAACCACTGCTCTAAGCAAACTTGTCTCCTGGTCATTATTTATTTTAAAACAAATTTAGTAAGTGGCCTTCATTTTTATGCTTTGTAAATGATTGACATTGTTAAGGGGTGTGCTGTTTTGCCCTTTAGGATGTTTTGTTATTGAGAGATCCTATTGTTATATGCAACTATGGAGGTGTCCGAGCCGAACCAACTACAGTCTTGTTGCCCAGCCTTCATAGCTTATAGTTGCAGTACGGAGACATGTGGCCTTGGCTCCATATTAGGGCAGTAGGGAATTTCCTTGCCATTGACATCACTCCCTATCCATTTGCCCTCACTTTTTGGCTTCGCTTACCTCCACTCTGTGCAAAAGTATGCAGCCTGTATAAAAGGAAAAAGACAAGCAAGTGGATGGAGCTCAAGGGTTTGAGCAGATTGCCAGTAGTATTAAGTCTTGACATTGCTCCTACACACATTAATATTAAAGTTGTTACATTCACATCACAAGAGGCTTCGTGCTACAAAAATGTTTTAGGGCTCCCTCATCTGAAAAGCAAATGGTGGTGTCCATGTAGACAGAAGCTAATTTAAACAAGTGGTTCCCAATCTGTAGTCCATGGACCACCAGTGGTGCGCAAGAACAAAAAAATGGTCCACGGCCTCACCGTTGCTACACCGTTGCCTCAAAACCATGTGGCAACAAGAGCAACTGGCTTTGCAAAACCCTCTTATAGTGCCAAGGCAACGGAGATCTTAGGGAGAGGGAGGGAGAGGCTGATTACTTACGAAAAATTATTACTACCACATCAGCTTTAGATGATTAAATAAAGTTTTCTGTGGGCGAGCAGATTGCGACTACTGAATGGCATATGTTCTGTATCAGAAACTAGAGCTAATGTGATCTATCCAATGCAGTTTTCTGAATCAGCACCTCAAATAATCAAACCAAATCTGAAGTTGATCAGAAACTGATTTGTAACCCTTTTGATACTAATGTTGGAGAATGGTCTTTGTTCAAGTGGTCCCTGGTCAAAAAAGGTTGGGAACCACTGATTTAAACCATGTATATACTTACACAGTTCCGTCTAAAACTTAACCATAGATGACTGCATGACATAATGATAGTACGTGTAATGAATGCCCCAAATCCTGGTTCGTTATATAACATATAAATGTTCAGTATTATGGCATTATACCATTGAAATGCTAACAGCTTAAGGTATGTATCACCAGCACCACTAGAGCTTCTATGTGAAATTTATTTATTTTTGAATGTGATTATTAGCAGTATCCACATTTGAGATATGAACTTGAAATTGTGTATATTGCTCAGTTGCAAAAAAAATTACACAATTGGGAAAAGAAATCAACAAAATGGTCCAAGATAGTGAAATATTATCCTTCAGAATGGATTTATTCAGATTTTCTATTGTACCATTCAAATGCACGACCATTTAGTGTAGTGGTTCTCAACTTGTGGGTCCCCAGGATTTTTTGGCCTACAACTCCCAGAAATCCCAGCCAGTTTACCAGCTGTTAGGATTTATGGGAGATGAAGGCCAAAACATCTGGGGACCCTCAGGTTGAAAACCACTGATTTAGTGTATTCTACATTTTGCTTTCTTTTCAATCTATTTCAATTCCTACTCTAATAGCTCTGAAATTTGAATTATCCTCCAGCTATGTACAGGTTTGTGGATCACTGGGGGGGGGGGGGGAAGAGAAGAAGATATAACTGGTGTAATGGTGAACCTAGGTTCTTGGCGCTGTGCTCCCACATTCTGTTTGCTTTCTTCTTGTGGGATGCTAATATCCATTTGGAAATTCTTATTTAAAGGGGAAAAGTTCATGTGTGTGAAACACTTGTTAATCCCATTTTCCACTGGCTGTTTTGTACGTTGTCAATGATTTGGCTATTTACATCTAACACTGCAATATTTGGACTATATGAAAGCAGTGGCAACACATGTGCATGGATCCTGCTCTCGAGAAATAAAATGCTAGGTTTTTCCCCCTTTATGGTTGAACTGTTTTTGTTTCACATCACCGACTTTGCTAGAACAGTACAAAACTATAAAGATAGTTTGTAACAAAATGGTAAGAATTGCATTACTTGAGTTGACTTGTTAGAAAACCCTCTTAACGCATCAAATCATTTTACATTGCTCCTTGTACATTGGGCCACTGACCTCAGACCCTCTTTTTTTCTCTCACCACTGCCATATTTTCTTTACCAGAGATTTGTGCTGCTGGTCTATTTCAGATGCATGATCAGTCATGTAGCAGGAGATTTTATATGAGAATCTTGGAATGAAGAAGAGATATGGGTCGCTTATTTCATCCTCTACTGTTGCTGGCAGTTGAAGTGCGGTTCAAAGACTGATGCCCTGGTAGTAGGATTAATAGTGAGGCATCTCACAGGATTTATATAAAAATAGAAAACAAACTCAGACCTTTCAATTTTACATTCTGCAGTGAAAGAAGGAGCAGCAAAAAGATCTTGTCTCCTCAGATCTTGCACCGTGTTTTTGTTTTTGTTTTCGTCTCAGGAGCTATTTGAGAAACTGCAAGTTACTTCTGGTGTGAGAGAATTGGCCATCTGCCCAGGGGATGCCCAGATGTTTTACCAACCTTGTGGGAGGCTTCTCTCATGTCCCCACATAGGAGCTGGAGTGGACAGAGGGAGCTCTTCCGCACTCTCCCTGGATTCGAACCTCTGACCTGTCAGTCTTCAGTCCTGTCGGCACAAGGGTTTAACCCATTGCGCCACCAGGGAACATTGACGTCACTACATATGTTGATTCCATGTTATGACAGTTTGGAACAAACCACTTATCAACTACTCTATTGTATACCTTCTTATAGTTCCAGAATTCACACATGTTAGAAGAGCATTGTAGTAGTTGTTATCAAAGGTTGCTCCATCCAAGGACAGAAAAAAATGTCTGTTTTGTAAATGTCTGTCTTCTGAGACTCTTTGCTTTCCTTACAATATTTTAGGAGCATGAATCAGATATTACTGGGACATTACTGTCAAAAAGTTGATGAATGTTTCAGTTCAGGAAAGGAAAACTGATAAAAGGATATTCAAACATACAGTTATCTCAGGTATTAAGGGTCTGGATGCGGCCCCTTGGGCTCTTTTCTCAGGCCTTCCTCTCTCTCACCATCCTAGCCTTCCTTCATTCTTTCATGCCTCCTTCCCTCCCCCTCTTTCCCTTCCCTTTCATCCTTCCTCCCCTTTCTCCCTCTTTCTTCTTTCTTCCTTTCCTTTTGTCCGTCCCTCTTTCCTCTCTCCCTCTTTTCCATCCTTCCCTTCCTTCCTTTTGTCCTTCCTTTCTTCTCTCTCTCTCCTTCCTCCTTACCTTCCTTCCATCACCGGGCAGCTGATCCCCCAAGCAGGGAGTGATGGTACGTACAGCCCCCAAGTTAGAGTTTGCCCATGCCAGAGCTATCTGGCTATACAAGTTTTTGCACTGTCCCATCACATCAACTCTTTAATCATACTGAGTTTAGTAACTGACACTTGATATGGTTTCTCTTCCAAGAAATCAAGATTAAAGGTGTCTTTAGACCCCAGTAAAAGGGGATGGCCATTATGGTTGCCCCCTCCCCAGATTTAGGCACCAAACCTTTCAATCTGAACACTTCACAGCACCCACATTTACTCATTCTTATCTACCAAGAAGAAAGATTTATATAAAATTTAAAGTAGAGGTGGAGAAAGTGAAGCCCTTGTGAGCACACAAGACCCAAAGACTGTTTTTGCAGTACTTGACTGTTCCAGATTCCCTGAACCATTCATTTCTGCTCACCCCAAAAGGTTAGTTGCCTCTGCTGGAAACCTCCAGATATAGCACTTAAATATGTTATACTAATTTAAACATTTTAAAAAAATAGAGGTAGACTTCTTGCAATTTTTTATTTTGCTTGTTTCCTTCCATTGTCATTTTTGGCAGACTGTGTGACACTACAGAGAGTTGGGAAGACAGCTGGTCCTCATCCACACAATTTGTATTCATTTTCTGGAAAAACAACAACACAACAGCTTTATATCTAGGTATAAGAATATTAATTTTTTTGAAGTCGCT